ATCTTGAATTATTTAATCATCATTAATGTTAAGACTTTAATCTTTCTGCTCTTGATCTTCTCCTTTATTGTGATATATCATTTTCTTAATGAGTATCAAATCTACGCATCCTATCTTCATTAATTGAGGAATTTATTTATTTTAATGGTGATACTTTCCCATCAATTCTTGAACTATGGTTCTATTCACCCTTACACCCTCCTTTTCGTTCCTATTTCTTTTTTAATGATCTATCCGTCAAAATTTGATTGTCTCGATTAGATTATTATAGTAACGGTTCTACTTTCAAAGCTTTTGGATAATGCAAAGTATAATCATTTTGATAATCAAATTATAATTTTTCCAAATACCTCTATGTAGTTAAATTATTAATTATTGTTTCCTCTAAACTATCTGTATTTACATCAGAATTGGTCTGCGAAGAAGATTAAATTTTCCAGCGTTAAGATTAGAATGTACATGTATTTTATCTAAACTAGAAAGAATATATTTACAATGAATCATTTTCACTCAAGCATTCATTTCTATAAATTTATGTTGGAAAAAATAGAGTGTAAATATCTTCGCTATCTTTTGAAATTCTTTCTTTTATAATGTTTTTCATCTCTTCTTCATTAATAATCTTATCCTTTTCATAAATGACTCCAAATTTCTCAATACATTGTTTCAAATCCATTTTTTCAATTACATTTAATTTATTATATTACTAAATCATACTAGTGAGACAACTTTATTATATGCCATACTTGTATAAACACTTTAGATATCTTTAAGAATTATGTTAAGGTTTACTTACGATGCATTTATTAATATTTGTTATCAATAATTTTTACATTTTACATCAATTAACATTATTGATTTAATAATTGTTCCTTTAAGTATTTATTCTCTCTTTCAAGTTCTTCCAATCTGCTAATGAATTTATTCAATTGAATTTGTAAGTCTTTCAACTTTTAACTATCTTGCATATTAATTTTAAATTATAACAATCATTCATTATAAAACTTCATTATTTTTAATCGGAGACTATAATATTAATTATCATATTGATTACATTCATACTTAATTTTAATCCTATGTCATTGATTAAAGATCTTAAAGTCTTAATAAACAACTGTCAAAAACATAGAAATACTAACAATCATAACTCATTATTGTTTATAAATTTATAGGATAACCTTCAAATCAAATAATTCAAATTAAAAAAGCACATAAATATTATTTGTATTAATTCTAATAATTTCAGTTTTAATTAGATAATTAACTTTCCCTGTTTATATAATGATATTTCAAGAGTCCGTCTAAATTAACTGGTATTTAAATTGTTTTACTACTTCATTATTTCCTTCTTTTTTAAGTTTCAAACATTAATTAAATAAATGTAATTATAAGATGGAAACAATTTGATGCTTAACCTTTCCAATGGTCCCATAGACAATAGTAGAAGATCCTGCACAAATGTATTTTGTGCCATCCTCTATGCCGGCATATTGTTGAGTATCTTTGGGATAGGCGTGTACATGAATCAAAGCGGAAATGTATCACTGATAGACAGAGGATACGACCCAGATCGTAAATAGAAACAAATATGATAAAGATAGACCATGTGGAATGGAGACATTGAGAGATTATCCATTCATTTACTTCACTACACTTAATAGTGATTTCTTATGGAAGACTGTTTGCGTTTAGGAATGTCCAAGTGTTCCAGCTGCCAAACACAAACATTTGTAATTGAATCCTCCAACAAGTACAACTGTTCCGACAACAACAACACCAATTGGAACTACCCAAAATTCATAATTAAAATGTGCTGTAAATTCAGTAGTAACTTCTTGTAATTAAGCCACTTTATATAACAGCATTAAATGTAACATTTTTATATATATAAAAAAGTTGATTAAAGAGTCTGCATACCAACAGATCCAGAATAATTTAAAATAGTTTAAGAAGCATTAAAAATGGGTTTCTTACATTAATTAATATCTGATATCAGTGGTGCCAAGTATACATTATTTATTTTCATTGTAATTGGAACCTGCTTTACTTTAGCATTCACTTATTTATTGAAATGGTGTAGCAAAACTGTAATTTGGTTTATCATTTTTATAATTGTTTTGTTGTCCATTTTCTTTGGCTATTATAGTTATTTGTAATATAAAGCAGCGTAATTAATAAGTCAATTAAAGTAGATCAAATATGACAATTAGTTTATCACCAACTGGATATTTATTATAATCAATTGTATGGTGGTGTTTTGGATTGGGTACAATAATTTTGACAATTTGTTTTTACAAACGAATCAACCTAGCCATTGCAATTATTAAGTCAGCATCAGATTTTGTTACTAAGAATGTCAGTATTGTAATAGTACCTGTATTTTCAACTATTGTTACTCTTATTTTAACAATTATATTTATTTATATAGCATTGTAATTATTATATTAATATTTAGTTTAATATGTTCAACTGGTAAACCCGGAGATAAATAATAATAGTGGCCTTTTGGATAATTGAAATATACATTTATTGAATATTTTAGTGGATTCTATTTGTTATTTACAACATTTTGGACATATTCATTGATAATTGGAGTTAATAGTTTTATAATAGCAGGTTCTGTATGTGTGTGGTATTGGTAATAAGGAAAGAGTGGTTAAGAACATGTTTAACCACTCAATTCATCATGGAAAAGATGTTTTGTTTATCATTTTGGTTCAATTGTTTTAGGTGCATTATTATTGGGTTTAATATCAATTTTTAGATCATTCTTTGAATATCTATATGTATTTAGTATTCATATAATTAAAATAGAGAAATGCTGAATATATGCGTAATACAGATGGATGTTAATTTTGTTTTAAGTGTTGTGCATGTTGTATATGGTGTTTTGAGAGGTTTTTGCAATATTTGAATCAAAATATCTATGTTTAAATAAATATGACAGGAGATGGTTTTTTTCATGCTGCTAAAAAAGGATTGGATATTATGTCTAATAATCCATCAATAGTAATGTAAGTTGTAGGTTTAGGAGATTTAATAAACAACATAGCAAGAATAATGATTACATTATCTATATCTATGTTCTTTTTTAGATCCATTTCAGAATTACCTTAATTATTATTTGGAGGAATTGTGATTAATCCATATAATCCAACTTTATTATTAGCAATCATTATTTTTGTAATTGCCAGTGTCTTTACTAATATATTTGGAGTTTCAATAGAAAGCATACTTCATTTATATTGTATTGATTAAGAAATAGCCAGGGCTAAATAAAGTTCAGATGATGCTGAAATGTGTCCTGCGGTAATAATAATAATTTATTATAATAGGCATTAAGAGAATTTTTAAATGATAAGGTTTTTACATAATAATAAAAATGATATATTAATAAAGAATTCATAATCAATAATCTTTTTTTGTATTTGATCTTGATAATTTATTATTATTGTTCTTTTAACTTTAATTTTATTCACCTAAATCTAATGTTGATAGAAAATCTTTAATTTTATTCACATTTTCATTTAAATCATTCAATAATACCCAATATGAATAAAAGCTTTCTAAATTTATATATATAGATAATTTTTACTCTTATTTTCTTATTTAAATTCAATTAATTAATCATTATATGTCTCCTATTATTTTGTAATTGATTGAACTTTTGTTTCTAAATCTATCATTTTGTCTCAAATAATACTAAGATATATTAATACTTTAAATTTCATTAGATCTAATTGGAGATTCTAATTTCTCTATTTTTACAATCTCTTTATTTTTTGGAGAGAAAGGATGATGCAAAGAGATGAGTTGACTTTAGAGTTAAAGAATTTATGTTTCTTATGATCTCATTTACTCTTCAATTGGTCTTATATACATATATATAGTATTTTCAATTATTTTCTCAATGAAACATATAATTTGTTATGTTAGTTCTTCTTTTTGCAATTCCTTATCATTATTGACAGATTTACTCTTTTACATTTTCTTTTTTTGATTATATAAATAATTACCATTTCAACTAGGGATTCTATAATACTCTCGAATTTAAACATTTTACAAATTATTATTTTAACTAATAATAAAATAAACAATTATATTCATGTTGCTTTGATGTATGAAGCAGCTTTTTATAATAAACCTCCTCCTGACTTCTTTTTTTCTATTTATTCATCTAAATACTTCTACATTTTTTCTACTCTTTCATTAACATCACCAAGAACAACCCAACAAGCATTGCATTTCTCTAATAAATCTATCACATCTAAATACCTTTAACTTATCTTACAGTATCATTTACTTTAGTATCATTTAATTCTTATTTGAGTTAATAAATTTTATCTTCAAATTGCGATAATAACTCTAAAGGATAATCAATTATTTATACTTTATTATATATCATCAGAATTGTTAAATATCTAAAGTGTTTATTTCAATTAAGCTCTAAGATATAATAGAATATATAATTTTTACTAAGTATCCATTAATAAACTAATCATATTATCATGGTTTTGTAATTTTTTTCTTACCCTATCTATTTCTTCAATTTCTATCTATTTTCCACTTTCAATTACTTTTTCTGACACTCCTACGCTCCTCATCACTGGAGTAAACTGAATGAAAAATAAAATGTTACTTGATTAAAACTCTTTATCACAAGTTCTTTTATCTTAGCCAAATCTGACTCCAATTAATCAATTTATTATTTTATAGGTTCTACTAATTCATTACAAGTGATTTTGGCCACTTCTGTAAATATGTTAGCTATGCTTGTCATCAACTTTTCTTTCTCAACCAATTTATCAATTATGCATTCATTATGGTGATGAAAATACCCTTTTTATTATTATTATTATGCCTTCTTATTTAAATACTAAGGTTAAATATCATTGTTAATACTTTATCAACTGCTTTCTCTACTTTCTCATCAAAATCCTTCTCAGTATACTTTTTCATCTTATAAATAGATTTATATATATTTAATTTTTAATGCAATTTCAATTGATTTAAGAACATAATTATTTTTATTGAACAAAACTCACATAATTACTTCTGGTTGAATTGAGATCATTAGTTTTACTTGATTTAAATTTCTATCTTAGTTTATCTATAGACTAATTATTGCTAATATTGTTGATATCACTTTGATGATGAATTTTTGATTCGAATTGCTTTTACACATTTCTATAAGATGCCTAAATCACCTTTTAAATCTATTTAGCTTTCTTCTCTGGATTCTCTGATTTGAAAGCCTATTAATACATCAAAGACAAAACAAGATTGTCTTTATGCACTCTAGGAAGGGTGCTAAGAGTGTCTAATACTGTCTATAATGGAGGATTTTAGGGTATGTGAAGTGAAGGCAATTAACCATATGATTAATGAACATTCTCAGTCTTAATCACTGGTTAAGAAGATCTAGATGTTAATGAAGTAAATTCAGTGCTATTTTCATTCAAAACATCAGCTTATGTTTTTATTGTAAATTAATTTCTGATACAATTTTCATCTTGAGATTACTAAACTACTTATGGTTTCTTCAATAATCTAGCTTAATATTATTGCAAAGTATTGCTGTATACTTTTTATAACACACTTTAATTTTAAGTATTAACTATTTTCATGCTCTTTAGATCATCATCTGTAATATTCTATAATAATTTGACTTAAGATAGTTTTTATCCTTGAGATTCCACTAATTTCTTATTAAGAATATGTTTAGCTTAAAAATTTGGTTTATTTTATTAAACATCCTGAGCAGCTTTAAAAATCTAATTATATTTAACTATTTTACTTCATCTTATTGTTGAATAGTCTATTAAGCAGCTTCACATTTATTTTACCAATGTTTAAAAATTATATTTGAATTCTTTTTCATATTTTCAAAAATAGAATAATTACCTAAATTATCAAAGAATTATCTCTTTCTTATTCTATAAACATGTAATTTTGGTGTAATAACTTTAGCCTTATTGAATCGAGAGATTTTTAACATTATTTCAACTTCTCCAAATCCTTAATATTATCCATATGATGATAAAATTATTTGTTTTTAACCTACTTTTTTTGATAATTCAATCTCACCATCAATTATAAAATAGATATGAGTAGCTTTATCATCCTCCTTATATAAAATTTCACCAGCATGATGTGTTATCATTTTACATTCTAAAATTATACCCATAAATTCTGATGGTTCAATGAATTAAAATAACGGAGTTTTGGAAAAGTAATTTATTTTATTATCTAATGCAGCACTCATATAAGGATTGATTAATTCTAAATATGCCATTTCACTCAAGTATATTAAATGAGTCTATTCTAATGCATAAACGGTTGAAGATCTAGCTGTGTCTAACTTAATAGCAGCCTCTCCAAATGAACTTTTATAGCTCTTTATTTACATACTCTCCTTAGAATAGTATTTTCAATATAATGTAATCTGGGAACACGCTATTCAATCCATATGGATCTTAATCTGTCCTTTTAACAGGCTTTGAATTTTCATTGTAATCTAACTTATTAGATCCAACCATCTTCTCTTTTGGTTTCATCACTACCACCTTTCCTTCTAGTATTATATAAAATCTCTTATTTTAATCTCCTTATCGATAAACAGGATTCAATTATGGTACTGATTGAAATCTAAATATATATTATAGCATACCTAAATTCAGAGTAAATACGACCTAATAACTCAGGAGGCACTTCTTTTCTAATTTCCTTAATCTTTTTAATCTAACTTAATTATTCAATCAAAATAGACGATGTTGGTATTATCATATTGGATAAGGTTACAATACTCTTTCTAGAATATCTACGATAATAATTTTCAGGATTCACATTCTCTGTAATAGGTCTCACTCCTAATTCATTTCTTATTGATTCAATGTCAATCAGTTTCTTTTATTTTTTTGCATCTCGCTGTTAAGTTTATTTCTATGTCCCTTTCTACATTTGTTTAGATTCATTATCAGAATCGGAATCACTAGGTTGTTGTAAAAAGTCAAAATTAGTCTTTGTTTGAATACTAAAGGATGATTGCATATAAGAAGTCATTTATATAAAATAATTGATTTTTTAATTTAATCCTATATACTATTTTATTCCTTTTAANATTTATTTTACCAATGTTTAAAAATTATATTTGAATTCTTTTTCATATTTTCAAAAATAGAATAATTACCTAAATTATCAAAGAATTATCTCTTTCTTATTCTATAAACATGTAATTTTGGTGTAATAACTTTAGCCTTATTGAATCGAGAGATTTTTAACATTATTTCAACTTCTCCAAATCCTTAATATTATCCATATGATGATAAAATTATTTGTTTTTAACCTACTTTTTTTGATAATTCAATCTCACCATCAATTATAAAATAGATATGAGTAGCTTTATCATCCTCCTTATATAAAATTTCACCAGCATGATGTGTTATCATTTTACATTCTAAAATTATACCCATAAATTCTGATGGTTCAATGAATTAAAATAACGGAGTTTTGGAAAAGTAATTTATTTTATTATCTAATGCAGCACTCATATAAGGATTGATTAATTCTAAATATGCCATTTCACTCAAGTATATTAAATGAGTCTATTCTAATGCATAAACGGTTGAAGATCTAGCTGTGTCTAACTTAATAGCAGCCTCTCCAAATGAACTTTTATAGCTCTTTATTTACATACTCTCCTTAGAATAGTATTTTCAATATAATGTAATCTGGGAACACGCTATTCAATCCATATGGATCTTAATCTGTCCTTTTAACAGGCTTTGAATTTTCATTGTAATCTAACTTATTAGATCCAACCATCTTCTCTTTTGGTTTCATCACTACCACCTTTCCTTCTAGTATTATATAAAATCTCTTATTTTAATCTCCTTATCGATAAACAGGATTCAATTATGGTACTGATTGAAATCTAAATATATATTATAGCATACCTAAATTCAGAGTAAATACGACCTAATAACTCAGGAGGCACTTCTTTTCTAATTTCCTTAATCTTTTTAATCTAACTTAATTATTCAATCAAAATAGACGATGTTGGTATTATCATATTGGATAAGGTTACAATACTCTTTCTAGAATATCTACGATAATAATTTTCAGGATTCACATTCTCTGTAATAGGTCTCACTCCTAATTCATTTCTTATTGATTCAATGTCAATCAGTTTCTTTTATTTTTTTGCATCTCGCTGTTAAGTTTATTTCTATGTCCCTTTCTACATTTGTTTAGATTCATTATCAGAATCGGAATCACTAGGTTGTTGTAAAAAGTCAAAATTAGTCTTTGTTTGAATACTAAAGGATGATTGCATATAAGAAGTCATTTATATAAAATAATTGATTTTTTAATTTAATCCTATATACTATTTTATTCCTTTTAATATACTCTTTGGTAATTTTATTGAAAATTTATTAAGAAATGAAGAATAATATAACAGCTAAGGATGAAATTTATATTGAATTTATCAAATTTAATGAATAGAATAATGAAAATTCATAAATTATATTAAAATTTATTCTAATAGATTGCAGTATTAAATCATTCTTTTTTCTTCTTTTTTTTTTTTCCTTTTTTTTCTTCAAAAGGATTAACTAACATAGATTAACCAATATCCATCATTTTATTATTAAAGTCTTCTTATTAAGTAGGTACCATAATTCCAGATAATAATGAGTTTATTTAAATTGGAATTTTATGTTTTGCAAATCTATTTTTTATATCCAATACTTCTTATAGATTTAATTCATTAACTCTTGTTGGACTATTTCTCTATAATAATTGAGAGAATTTATTATGAAGTGAATTGGATCTAAGTTTTGTTGCATAAATTGATAAAGATGACGGTTATTCATCAGTTTAATTATCTGTAGAACTTAAATTTAATAAATCTTTGTATGCTCTTCTAGCATTAACAACTCTTTATGCAGATGCCTTACCTTCCAAAAATGTAGTATCAATAGCTGAATCATATTATCTATTCTAAGATTATATAATAATCGGTAATGGTTTTAAATTAATTACTTTTGAATCTTATTAATTTTATAATCCAACAGATTAAGTTCTTCTTTTATCAATTTCAGCATATCTACTACCATAATATTATGAATCTATTCTTCTATCAATTTCTTTTTCTATTCTAGCTTTATTTTTAGACCAAACATTCATAGAATGAATAATTTCTTCATCCATTTTTTTATCTCCTACTTCTTTCTATCTAAATTAAATCCATCTATTCTATAGATTTAATTCAATTTCTTAATTTGATGGTTAATATAATTAATAATTTTATCTATTCTCAAATTATGTATTTAAATCTTTAAATTCTAAATTAACGTCATCTTTTTAAAATACTTTTATCTTAGGTACCATATTAATATTTATTTTTTTCTTCGCTTCATCATCCTCATTCCCCAATAATTCTCCATCAATCGCAATCTCACCTTCTGTTTATTCTTAACTTTATTGCAGATTGTCATCCTATTCTTTTTATGGTAATGGGACTACTTTAGGAAATGTACTCTTCACCTGAATTTGAGGCACAATATTATTCAATTAATTAAATTGTCTTCGTTTATATTGTTTTAATCTAAATGATTAATAACTCTAAATACCTTAAGTATGGCGGATCACAATTGTTATGCATTGTTCTGTTCTTCTCCTTATAATCCCTGAGTTGATCATCAATTTATTTACTTGGTAAAGCCATTGTCTAATCTTGAATGATTAATCTTGTATCATCACTTGTAGTAATTTTACCTATTTCATTCTCTTGCGTCTTTATAACATCTCTGTTATTCTATAAAAAAAAACTATAGACTTTTTCAAGGAATATCAATTAAGCATCTCTTCCTTTTGCGATTGCTGCTTCTCTTAATAAATTTACAATATTTTAGTAAAAATTGTAACGAGTTGGCATTGTTGGAATAATTCTACCTTATTTTAAAGAAGTCTAAATCTAAAACATGAAATAGAAATGATTACTTCTTTATTGAAATTTTAAATAGATTTGATTATGGTGTTAAACTTTTTATTATCTTCAAAATGAACACTCTTTAGTTCCTCTATATCAAATAATTAATAATTAAATTTAGTATGCCATAATCTTGTGCTATTGTAGAATTACAACTTATCAGCATCACTTATATTCTAAAGTACATGTGATTTTTCGAACCCTGATTAATTCATTATTTTTATATATTTTTATTTTCTTAACTGATATTTTAAAAATGAACTCCAAACAATAACATATGACAGCTTGTCCAGCAATTCTAAAAGGAGATGATCTTCCTGACGATACTACACTTAAAGAGTAGAATTCTAATCTACCAAAATCTATATTTTCAAAGAAATTGATGCCTTAAATGAATAATGAAATTCTCTATGAAAGACTCAATTAGGAAGCTGAAATATTTAAGTAGAACAATATAATGTTAAAAGAATATTATGAATAAGAAGAATTACGACCTTGTTCATTTGCTCCATAAACGCTGAATGATGGTTCAGAGAAAAGATCGCTTTATTAATTTTTATTCGATCAATAGAATCATGTTATGAGAGTAGAATAGAAATTGGAATAAATTAAATAAAATGAATTAGAACGTGATTTATAACATCCATATCATCCAAAAACTAATGAATTCAATTTTTCTAATAGAGATGAAACAATACCTACTTATGAGAGATTATACAATCTAAATTTAAAGAAACCCTTTGAACCAATACTGTAATAATCAGAATCTACAGTTGATAATAAACCATTAATTTAATAGAAATCTTAAAACATGGTTCGTAATCAAAAGGTAGAAGACATTCTCTACTAAGATGCTTAAAAAAGATTATAAAAATAAAAAGAAATTTTAGAGAATAAGAATACGACTAAAGTAGTTACTGTAAACGTTAAATTTACATCAAACAATAGTGAAAAAATAGTCGCTTAAAAATTTATTAGAGAATTTGAAACAGTTATAGATTGGATTTTTGATTAAACAGGATAGGATAGACCATCAAATGTATCATTTTCAATTGATTATCTTAAATTAGGAGAAATATTATAAAGATTAGGATTTTTGAATTAATTATAATTAAAAGAAAGTAATGAAAAAGCTGTTGAATATGAAAATCTTCGTTTATCTGAAGAAAGAGCTTTATTATGTGAAATTTGGACTATTTTAAGAGGAGATGAATTAGGAGGTATAAGTAAAAGAAACTTATGTTTATTTTTATTGACTTTAATTGGAATTACAGATTTTAAAATAAAAGAATTACCATCTGCTTAAAATGAAGAAGTTCCAAATTATTAGAAATCTATACAACCATAATAACATAAAATAGTTACTGCTCATTAACCAAATGATAAACCTAAGTTAGGAACCATTGATAAAGATGGTAATATCATTTTCACATTAGAAGAAACAAAAAAGATTTAAAAATAATTTGATATTTTATATAGAAATAGATTAGGTTGTGAAGAATTAAAGAAAACTAATTGGAAAGATCAAAATCCTTATAAACCATAAATTTTGCCCTAATCAAAATAATTAGCTAATTAATTTAGAGAAAAAGTATTAGAATAAACTGCTAATCTAATTGATAATCAATTGATTAAAGTAAATATACCTGAAAATGGATAAATTACACACGCAGATTTATTAGTATTATAAATGAAAGCTGTAGAATACTATAAAGAATAAAAGAAATAAGAAATATTATAATAATAATTAGATAAATGTCCATTTTAACCATAATTAATAAACAATAATAATTAAAACTTTTAAAATAATACTGAAAAAATAAGCTATTAAAAGAAATCAGAGAAATATTTGTAATTGTATTCATTGGCTAAACCTACTAAATAAAAAAGAGATAGAACAACTGAAGAAATAGAATATGAAAGATATTAAGAAGAATGTACTTTCTAACCTGGTTTAATAAATAAAAGAAGTTAATAATAAAAATAAGAGAATCATTATATAAATAAGGATGTAGATAAAACAGTATAAAGAATGAAATAAGCTAGATAAAGGAGAGAAGAAGTATAAGGTATGTTAGAAAGAGGATATAAAAGTAATAATAAATCAATTTAATCATATTAATAGACTAAACTAAGTAGAAGTTAGTCTTAGAATTAATTGAAATAAACTACATAATCATCGAGATAAAAAAGTTTATAATCATAAGAGTCTTAATAAATGAATACTTTTTAATCTTAGAATTTTCATATGGATGAATCATAACCTAAAGAGGAATAGAGTATTGTTAGACCTGGCAGTTGTAAGACAGTAATTCTATATTTTAATTAGAATAGGATGAAAGAATTCCTTTATTATTTGTTGATGTAAATTTAGGACCAAATAAGACAGAAAGAATTGTTGTTTATGAAGGTGATTAATCTTTTGACTTGGCTGCTCGATTTGCTTAAGAACATAATTTGGATGAGTTTATGCAAGATAAATTAAAGGAGTTATTAGACTATTAAATAAGTGGATTATTAACAAAAATTGATGAAGAAGAAGGAGCCTTAAGTGATTGTGATTAATGAAATATATTATATATACTAAAAATATCATTATTATTATTATTATCGAAATGACAGTTTGCTAGATTCTTATGACATTTTCTCTAATTCTCTCTCTTTTTACAATTGCCATTATATATATCGTTCATCATTTTTCAAATTTTCAATTCCTTATTTAGTCCATAAAGGAACTAAATTATGATAAATATTTGGCTAATAATGAGAATGTGTCATGTCATATTTCTCTTAATTCTCAAGTCTTTCCAAATCTCTAAAAATCTATAAAATGATTACCTAAGACTTAGGAAGAAGAATATCAAAATGATAGGAAATAATACATAGATGGAGATAAGTATTCTTTGATCATAGATATTTCCAAAATATGATGCTAATGATTCACTAGCCAACTGTTATTATTCCATTTATTGTTGTTATTTAAATTAATAATCACATAAATTATTGTCATTTTATTTTCATTAATATTTATTTCATTAAAATTATGATATGTAATTGATTCATTTTAGAACTATAGATGTTTTGATTGATCCTTAAATCTTTATTTAAATTGAAAAGAAAAAATAATGAATTGTTCTTATTTTCATATATTAAAAATATTGGATAAATTATATTTTTATATTGTTAAACTAAATCTAATAATTATACTTATTCTACAAATTTAGAGATTTTTAAATATAATCCATAATTCAATTAGAATATATATAATTAAGATCTTCAATTTCCATTATTAATATTATCTTTTAAATATTCAATATAAATTGAGGCAATTCAAAAATTCTAATCTATAATTGAGTAAAGCTACATCTTTTTAATGAAGATAAAAAAATACTTTTAGAATCTTATTTAATAATTAATTCAACAACCTTTTTGACAATATGTTAAATTCTTACTTTTTGTTACTATCTTTATGTTCAATTTAATTTTTTTTGTTCATTACAAAGGTTGACTTTTTATATCGATTTATGTTGATCTATGACATAAAATTATCTAAAGTCTCATAATAAATAGAATTTAGAGAAGGAAAGATGAAATCGTTAAAGTACATTATAATTATTAATATAATGAATCACAGGTCAATTAGGCCATCAAGTGCTTAATAAAATATATCTCATGTAAGCGACAAGAATGTCTCTTTTCATAAGAAGTACAATGATTGATTAATAATAAGTCCTTATAAGTAGCCAAATGTGCAGAACGTTTCATAATATAGAGTGAAAGAGAGTGAAAAATTATTTGAAGAGAGTCTATAACTTAAACTTTTAATGAATTAATTGAAAGATGAGAATATTAAGTTAAAAACAAGAAACACAAATTTAGAAGTAATATTGCAATCATCATCTAGAAAGACTTATAAAAATGTTAAAAAATAATAGAAGAAGTAGAGACTACTGGAAATATGAAACGATTTTATGCAAAACCAAGCACAGATAATTAAATGATTCTAAGTTTTAAAGGTTAAATTAAAGAATTGCGATAAAACCTTGATTAAAGAGAATAGGAAATTTTAGCACTTAAAAAGTCAGCAAAATATACTAAACTAACAGAAATGGAAATTGAACGTAAAATGTTATAAGATGAAACAATTCGATTAAAACAAGTGATTGATGAACTAGTACAATAAAATTTATATGCTTAATAAAAAGAGCATGATTTATAAAAATTATAGGATATGATTTCGTAAAGAGATAATCTTATTAAATAATTGTAACAAGATATAGAATAATATGAAACAGATAATAAAAATCTTCAATCATAATTATAATAACTTATATCAGCTTATTAAGATCTTGATAGAGAATACTCTAAATTAGATTAAACTATGTAGAATAAAATAAAAAATAAAGATAAATAATTAATTGAACTCAAAACACAACTTACAAGATTAAAAGAACAATATGAAAAAGAAAAGAAATTGCTTCAATAACCTAAATTTAGTCCTACTCTCAAAACACATAATAAAGTAACTAAACGTATTTAAAGTGCTAAACTTCCTGAACAAATCACTAAACCAATTCAATTAGATGATGTTACACATATCATCTAAGAAATTAAATATAAATTAATAGCTATGTCATTACATTCGAAATAAATTGATAATTTACTATTCAATTAATCAACATAAAAAACTACAATTGGATAATTGACTGAAAAATTAATAAATGATCCATTTTTCTTAAATAAAACTGATGCTAATAATTTTGCTAGATTTTTGATTGAAACACCATAATAAACTTATCCATATAATCCAAATCTATCCATTTCTTAAGATAATGGATTAATTAGAAGTATGTTCTTTAAATCAATTGGATTTTGGGCTTGTTACGACTAAGTTGAAAAAAGAGTATTAGAATCATGTTTATAAAAACTATTTAAAGGATCTTTAAATTAGATAGAAAAAGTTATGGGTAAAAATGTGTATACAAAAAAGGATTTTATTGTTTAAATTTAAAAAATACTACCAAAAAAATAGATTAGAGAATTAGAAATCACTTATTTAATTTCAAAAGTAAATTTTTATTTAAATTATTAGATTATTTTGTAATCAAAGAATCTTAATACTTTAAAAGGGGAAGCACTTGTAAATTACTTAAGAGAATTAAATAAATTTGATAATTAAGAAGATGTTAGAGCTGAAGAATTATAATAATATTATGATAATTTAGGGTAATGATAATTTAAATTTATTATTCAATTAGATAAGATAAAGGTTTCTTTTTCTATAAATAGTTAAGAAGTAAATAAGAATAGATGATTGCATTATTGGAAACTAAAGAAGATAAAGTTGAGGAAATAGATATTAATTAAATAAATGATGGAACACCGTAGAAGTCAGTTTAACAATATATTATAAAAGGAGGATTAGTAAGAAGTCATTCTGATCCAGATCCATTATAATTAATATAAATCTAAAAGGATGAGGAAGAAGAAGAAGAAGAACAGAATTATGAATAGCAGATGTAATAAGATTATTTTAATAAATAAAAATATGATAAAGATCAATATCCATTTAATTTTGATGAATAGGAGGATGAGTATGAAAATAATGAATAAGAGAATGATAATGATTAGCCTGATTTAAATAATGCTTAAATTGAAGAATAAGATTAATATTAGGAAGAGGATGATGATTACAATATTAATGTTGATGGAGTCTTTGAAGAAGATAATGATGATGAAAATGATTAATGGGAGAAAGTAGAAAATAAAGGCAATTTTCCAGTTAGATAAGAGTAATTATGTTTTATATAGATAGCCGATAAATTCCAAATAGTAGACCAACATCAAGTTATGTAAATAAGGTTAATAGAAGTAATAGTGATGTCAAAGCTAGTTTGGCTTCAGAATTACATCCTACTAAAGAAATCAATGAAGAGGGTATATTATATTTATTATCTATTAAGAATATATGGAGGAATAATTTGAAGAAGAAAATTGATATATAAATTTTATATAAATTAAAATATGAAACGAACAAAGGAAACAATTTTTAGAGAGCATCCTGATTGGCAATAAAGATAAGGTATTAGTGGTCTAAAAGAATTTGATGGAGAAGATTTACGTAATTAATAATAGTTATCGTAAAGAATTTGATTCACGTAATAAATTTAATAAGGATCAATAAAAATAATGGATATTTGAATAAATTGATGAAAAAAAAAGAAGATAAGAATAAGAAAAAGCGGAAGAAATGGCATATGCTTAATAAACATTAGAAATTAATAGATTCAGAGGAATGTTATAAGATAACTTTGCATCTAGAAAGACTGATATGGGTGTTGCAACAAAACAAACAAATCTCTAATTAGTAATTATTTCATTTAATATTAGGCTAAAGAGAAAAAAGATAAAGAAGAAAGAGAAAAATAAGAAAAATTGGCTGCTGAACGTGCTGAAAGAGATTTATTACTTGAACGTGGTCGTAAATAGCCATATAAAGGATGATTATTATGTTTCATCTTGCATAAAATCATAGTTATATTATTAAAGATTAATCAAAATACTTTTTTATTTTTTTTATTATAATTGAATATTTTTTATCTCTGTTAAAAAATTATCCAGGACATCATATATACATAATATTAGGAGAGGATTATGAAAAATTGCTTAATTAGTATTGTAATAGAATTTACAATTTAATCTCAATTTAAAAAATATCAATAAAAATAATTTCAATATTAAAATGAATTAAAATAATATGAGATTATATGGAATTTTGGTAGATATTTCAGGATCAATGAAATAAAGTTATTAAAAAATTGAATATAACAAAAATTTAACTAATTAGATACAACAGTGCGATAAAACTAGACTAGTTTCCGTTTGGGAAATAATTTAAGCAGCTTTAAAACAAATTCATTTATAGAATGATTTTATATTTTTGTCAGCTTTTGGGTGCTGCCATGAAGTAGAAGTAATTGATTTGGTGCCCTTCTTAAAATCTGTTATTAAAATCTTAAAATTAATATCTTAAATAAGAGGGCTTTAATATTTCCACTAAAATGATTAAACTGATTATTGTCAGCTTTTATACAAATTTGTAACAGAAAAAGGAGCTAAATATTTATCCTCATTTTACACTCTAAACAATTTGAGGACTGATATTTCTAATTTCAAAGCAAAGTTACTATATTTGTAATTCAAAGAGAATGAAGCTCAATTTAAATTATTTGTTAATCAATTACCAAAATAAGTGAAAAAAAATAATAAAAAATATAAAATCTAAGCTTTTATTGGAAGTTAGTTCTAGAATAATGGTATCATATAAAATCCTCTTGCTATTGCAATTCAAGAATAAATCTAGATTTAATTAAAAAAATTGGATAATTACATACAATTTAATGATATTTTTGATTAAATTCTGTAATGTTTGAATTTTACATTAATAGAGGTTCAGAATGTAAAGAATAAAAATAATACGCATATTTAACTTAATAATGAATTATAATAAATAATAACGGATTTTAGTGGATATAAAAAATTTCCAATTCAGCAGTAACTANGATAACTTTGCATCTAGAAAGACTGATATGGGTGTTGCAACAAAACAAACAAATCTCTAATTAGTAATTATTTCATTTAATATTAGGCTAAAGAGAAAAAAGATAAAGAAGAAAGAGAAAAATAAGAAAAATTGGCTGCTGAACGTGCTGAAAGAGATTTATTACTTGAACGTGGTCGTAAATAGCCATATAAAGGATGATTATTATGTTTCATCTTGCATAAAATCATAGTTATATTATTAAAGATTAATCAAAATACTTTTTTATTTTTTTTATTATAATTGAATATTTTTTATCTCTGTTAAAAAATTATCCAGGACATCATATATACATAATATTAGGAGAGGATTATGAAAAATTGCTTAATTAGTATTGTAATAGAATTTACAATTTAATCTCAATTTAAAAAATATCAATAAAAATAATTTCAATATTAAAATGAATTAAAATAATATGAGATTATATGGAATTTTGGTAGATATTTCAGGATCAATGAAATAAAGTTATTAAAAAATTGAATATAACAAAAATTTAACTAATTAGATACAACAGTGCGATAAAACTAGACTAGTTTCCGTTTGGGAAATAATTTAAGCAGCTTTAAAACAAATTCATTTATAGAATGATTTTATATTTTTGTCAGCTTTTGGGTGCTGCCATGAAGTAGAAGTAATTGATTTGGTGCCCTTCTTAAAATCTGTTATTAAAATCTTAAAATTAATATCTTAAATAAGAGGGCTTTAATATTTCCACTAAAATGATTAAACTGATTATTGTCAGCTTTTATACAAATTTGTAACAGAAAAAGGAGCTAAATATTTATCCTCATTTTACACTCTAAACAATTTGAGGACTGATATTTCTAATTTCAAAGCAAAGTTACTATATTTGTAATTCAAAGAGAATGAAGCTCAATTTAAATTATTTGTTAATCAATTACCAAAATAAGTGAAAAAAAATAATAAAAAATATAAAATCTAAGCTTTTATTGGAAGTTAGTTCTAGAATAATGGTATCATATAAAATCCTCTTGCTATTGCAATTCAAGAATAAATCTAGATTTAATTAAAAAAATTGGATAATTACATACAATTTAATGATATTTTTGATTAAATTCTGTAATGTTTGAATTTTACATTAATAGAGGTTCAGAATGTAAAGAATAAAAATAATACGCATATTTAACTTAATAATGAATTATAATAAATAATAACGGATTTTAGTGGATATAAAAAATTTCCAATTCAGCAGTAACTACATTCATTAGAAGAACTATTGAAAAAAATAGACTCGATTTAAGATAATATTCTAAAAGTTTTAAATAATGATTGCTTTATTCCTTAAGATTTGATAAAAGAATAGATAGATTTTTCGGAATTCCAGATTAATTCAATTGACGAAATCAGAAAATAAATTCACATTAGGAAAGATCAATCATTGAGTTTTATGATAAAAGAAGATTTTGATTTATTCAAACCATTCGAATCTATTTCTTTTGGGGGAACCCCTTTGATCAAATGTTTGAAAATGACTTAAAATTCTAAATTCTAAAATTTTGGAAATAAATTCTTATTTATTCTATCAGATGGAGATTCAACTGATGGTAATCCTATTCAATATACTAACAAATTAAAGGAATAAGGGTTTACTATATTTTGTTATTATATTACATCATCTAAAAAAATAGACCAAAATTAATTATATTCAAAAGTTGAGTATATTAAAGGAGATGGAGCACAAAAAATGTTTGAAATGAGTTCTGAATATTCAAATTTTGAGTTTCCTTTACGATAAATAGAAGTATACACAAAATTAAAATTATCTGAAGATGGAAAAAGCAGATTATTTTTATAATCTAATGATTCAGAGTAATTGAAATAATTTTTTGATTATTTCATGAAAATCTCAAAAGATTTTGATAAATTAATCGAAATGATTGGGAGAATTACAATAGAAAAATATATAAATTCTAGTCAAGAATTTGAACCACGTTAATAAAATGGAGGAACATGCTATGCAAATTCTATTGCTGCTGTTTATTCGATAATGATTTCAAAGATATATAAAAGAGAAGGAGAATACCCTGGCTTTTTTCGAATAAGGGATCTATTAATCCAAGTATATGGAACCAAAGGAGCAAAAACCTTCTAAGTTGTTGAAGAAACATGTTAAGATTATAGATTATAGTGTAGAAGATTAAAAACTATTAGTTAAATCAAATAAGCTTTACATTAAGGGAGACCAATAATTTCAAGATTTGTCTTATGTTAGGATCAATGGTATGCTGATAATGAGAATCAAAAAGGATTTATAGAATTCTTTAATAAAAATCCAAAAGGAATTTTGAGTTCTGTTGGGCCTCAATCGAATAAGGATTTATATGGACATTCTGTTGTTTTAATTTCGTATACTTCAGATTATTACTTATTTATTAATTCATGGGGTAAATAATGGGGAGATAATGGTTATTTTAAAGTGAAAGATTTAGATGTATTAGGTGAGATGGAATTTATGGAAGTTTTTTGGAATTCAAATAATTTAACCGAATCAGAAAAATAATAATTTAAATAGGATACTGGATAAATAATAACCAAGTTTTATAAAGATTACTTAAATTCAATTGGGGATATCAAATATTCTTGTCCTGAATGTAATAAATAATCTTTAATAAATTAATATCAAGGCAATTATTAAAAAGCATAATGTCCAAAATGTAATAAGGAATTTCATCCATAATCACTTGGTTAGTTATTTATTGATTATCTAAATGGTAAGAATATTTGATTGAGATTTGATAATTACTAATAAATATTATATATAAATATCAATGTTTACGTTTTTTTTATGGACATTTATCTGCAACTCCTATTTTAACCATCTTAATATTAGATAACTAGACTAGATATGTACCATCTGGTTAAGGATCAAAAGAATAGATATTAAAATCTGCTGAGGCTGGATAATAGTTTTCTTTATTAAATTCTAATCTCATCTCATTTTATATTTAACTATTAATTAATAATTATATATAATACCTTTTTAATACTTAATATTTGATAACAAAGAGACCATTTTTGTCACTCTTCGTTTCAGTTTTTAAATCATTAAATGTAATACCATTCCATTATTTTAATTTAATATTAACTCCTTCTAATCCTCTCCAATCTAATCTACCATCACAATCAAATTCTGCCATTACAACACCACTTATAGAAGAATATTGATAATATTTATTAAGTTATCCTTTGAATTCTGGTGTTACTTAAGCTTAAGTAGATACCTTTACAATTTCACTATTTGGATTAATATAGAACTAATATGATGTTTATTTAAATTTAGCTGTTTCTTAAGTAATTACAAAGCATTAAACTTTAGAATTAGAATTCATTAACATATTCCACTTTATTTAATAAAGACCTAAATTATCAGTATTAGTTTTAATGTCAATTGGTCTTTTGTCTTATCCAAAACCATCACATTACATAGAAACAGGTACATTCGTTGGAGCTATTCCTCCTTCAGAAGTAACTTAACCATTCACTTCAAATGGTAAATAATCATCATATAATTATTATGGAAACATCAATTCTGACTTCTCATCATTTGTTTAAAATGGTAATGTAATTTTGTGTAATTATCCACTAGCATCTAAAAATTATTCAGTTACTTAATATTTTATTCCAAATTATAATTAATCATCTAATAATTACCATTTACCATCAGATCCAGTTTTAGCATTATATTCTTTAGTAACTGGATCTGTAATTAATGTTATTTAGACTCCAGATTATCCTTTACCTTTTGGACCAATAATTTCACCTCCAACAGTTAATTTAGTATTAGTAGGAGTTAATTCTTACTTTATTTTTATTGGTGGTAGTTAAATTTAAGGTCCATTACATAAAAAAGATATTTTATCACTTTTTGTGTCTTTATATTTATCAGCTTAAACATCTAAAATAAAAGATCCTTCTGTATTTTTATAACAAGGTATTTATAGATTAAATTTACCATTTGTATCAGTTTTACTAGTTATTTTATTTTTTTCTGTTCCTTTAACAATAGGTTATAGTGATTCTACTGTTAATGTTGAAATAGGGGATTTTTTTCCTTAAGGATCAGTCAAAGTAGATGATATTGTGGCTTATAATATTATTCTATCTAATGCAGCATCCTGAATTATAGTTTGATCTTTATTAGTTGTTATTGCAATATTAGATGATTTAAAGGGATTAAATTCTGGATGATTTATTTGGATGACAGCAGTATAAGTTTAATCTTTGACAGCACCAAAAGTTAAGGTATATTTTCCATTTGTATCAGATTTAGTTTTAAGATTTGTAGCTAATGGATCTGGTGGAGTTAAAACTATTTCAATATCTGCATTTTAAGCATTTTTCGAAATTCCAGTTTTATCAGTTAATACACCAGAGACTGTTATTTATACTGTTTTAGTGGATACTTATATTGGTTTAAGTTTGAGATCTTTTTCACCACAAGTAAAAGTTTAAGGAGGTAAAGGTTATTTAGGAAAGGCATCTGATTACATATCCATTGTTAATGTGGTAGATAATTAATTATAACATTAAAATGGTATTGAGAAATCCCCTTTATTTGCTTAAACTAATTTATTGTATAATAAATTATTCTACATTTATGGAATTGAACTTAAGATTTCAACTTTTGCATTTTAGATTGGATTATTTTTAGAATCAATCAAGGATCCATTTATTATACAATCAATTATAACTCTCTTTAATGAAATACTTAAATTAATTGATTATTTTTCTTCTTTTCCAATTAACTATATATTATTATTAGTAATTTAAAATTATGGCTAAGCCTCAACAGTAATTGTTACATCATAATTAATACCTTTTAGAAGTTCGAATATAAATGTAAATGTTCCATCATTTAAACTTTTAATATTTATTTATTAATTAGTAAGTGGGTCTTATTATTTTAAGTTAAGATTTATTGATATCCCTGATAATTTCTCTTCAATTTTTGTTTCATCGATCAATTTGCCATTTATTGTAAATAATGTTGATAAGAATTTACTTTTTATTGTTAATCCATTTACTTCAAAATTAGGAGGTATTAATTCAACTTTAGATCCAGTATCTAAAATTATGTCCTTTGGTTTTATAACACATTCAATTTTATCATCATGTTTAGTTAATACTTAAAATGAAATATCAATATTTCCATTTTTATCTGTTGTAAAATCTTTATTAATGGGACCTTTTGAATCCTTAAACCCTTAACAACTCAAATTCATAGTTACTGGTTATGATAATTTACCTTTCTCTAACTCTATTTTACCTATAATCCTAGCATCTACAAAATCAATATAATTAATATCCTAAACAGATATTTTTTGATTATCACTCTATACTGAAAATTTCTATTCTAATTTCTAATATTATTTATTAATATCTTAATATTAAATAATAGCTTTGTATTCAGTATTAGGATATATTTTAGGAATTGTTGCTGTCCAAGTACCATCACTTTAACTTTTTGTTGTTATAGTTGCACTCTCAGGTTGGGTTGTGATAGTAATTGGTAAATTAGCAACTGGTTTCCCATGAGGATCTACTACCTTTCCTGCTAAAATTCCTTTGATTTCTAGTTTCTATAAATTTAAAGTTATGGGATTCAATTCAATTTATTCTTTATCACATTTAAATTTAGAACTTTTAATTTTTTATTCTTCATATTAAGGTACATCTATTTAGAATGTAACAATATATTCAAAATCTTTGTAACATTCAAAATTAGCATAAAATGATCCTTTATCATCATCTTTAATTTCTATATTATAATATTTAGAATCCTTCATCAAAGGTTCTGATTAAGTCATCTTAATAGTAGCATTTGGAATAGGTTTCTTATCACTACTAAATAAAGTAGAATGTAATTTTGTTAATATTGTTATTCTATCCAATTCAATATTTTCATTTAAAGTAATAGATTATAAACATTTCTCTTCAATTATCTTATTCTCGGTTTTAAACAAAGGATTTTATGCTTAAATTTAAAATTTTAAAGTATATGCTTACACAGCTTTAAAACTAAATATATATGAACCATCTTTTCCAGTCTTTGTGCTTAATTTTGATTATGATAATGTATTCTGATAATGTCTTTTATAGAATAAATATTATTCCAATAAGTGTTTGTTCTAAACATAGATATCTTATGGCGTAATTATTAACACTACATCTGTGTTTTCTATTCCTCCTATTGTTTTTGTTTTATCACTCACTATCCCTTTTATTGTAATATCAACACTATTATAAGTAACTGGTATATTAGTACTAGAAGACCAACTTGGACCTTTTACTTCAACATTAATTTTTATAGGTTAAACACTTGAAACAGGATTAGTTGAGACAGGATTTGTTGATCCAGTTGATCCTGTAGATCCAGTTGATCCAGTAGATCCAGNTCTAAAATTATGTCCTTTGGTTTTATAACACATTCAATTTTATCATCATGTTTAGTTAATACTTAAAATGAAATATCAATATTTCCATTTTTATCTGTTGTAAAATCTTTATTAATGGGACCTTTTGAATCCTTAAACCCTTAACAACTCAAATTCATAGTTACTGGTTATGATAATTTACCTTTCTCTAACTCTATTTTACCTATAATCCTAGCATCTACAAAATCAATATAATTAATATCCTAAACAGATATTTTTTGATTATCACTCTATACTGAAAATTTCTATTCTAATTTCTAATATTATTTATTAATATCTTAATATTAAATAATAGCTTTGTATTCAGTATTAGGATATATTTTAGGAATTGTTGCTGTCCAAGTACCATCACTTTAACTTTTTGTTGTTATAGTTGCACTCTCAGGTTGGGTTGTGATAGTAATTGGTAAATTAGCAACTGGTTTCCCATGAGGATCTACTACCTTTCCTGCTAAAATTCCTTTGATTTCTAGTTTCTATAAATTTAAAGTTATGGGATTCAATTCAATTTATTCTTTATCACATTTAAATTTAGAACTTTTAATTTTTTATTCTTCATATTAAGGTACATCTATTTAGAATGTAACAATATATTCAAAATCTTTGTAACATTCAAAATTAGCATAAAATGATCCTTTATCATCATCTTTAATTTCTATATTATAATATTTAGAATCCTTCATCAAAGGTTCTGATTAAGTCATCTTAATAGTAGCATTTGGAATAGGTTTCTTATCACTACTAAATAAAGTAGAATGTAATTTTGTTAATATTGTTATTCTATCCAATTCAATATTTTCATTTAAAGTAATAGATTATAAACATTTCTCTTCAATTATCTTATTCTCGGTTTTAAACAAAGGATTTTATGCTTAAATTTAAAATTTTAAAGTATATGCTTACACAGCTTTAAAACTAAATATATATGAACCATCTTTTCCAGTCTTTGTGCTTAATTTTGATTATGATAATGTATTCTGATAATGTCTTTTATAGAATAAATATTATTCCAATAAGTGTTTGTTCTAAACATAGATATCTTATGGCGTAATTATTAACACTACATCTGTGTTTTCTATTCCTCCTATTGTTTTTGTTTTATCACTCACTATCCCTTTTATTGTAATATCAACACTATTATAAGTAACTGGTATATTAGTACTAGAAGACCAACTTGGACCTTTTACTTCAACATTAATTTTTATAGGTTAAACACTTGAAACAGGATTAGTTGAGACAGGATTTGTTGATCCAGTTGATCCTGTAGATCCAGTTGATCCAGTAGATCCAGTTGATCCTGTAGATCCAGTTGATCCAGTAGATCCAGTTGATCCTGTAGATCCAGTTGATCCAGTTGATCCAGTTGATCCTGTAGATCCAGTTGATCCAGTTGATCCAGTTGATCCTGTAGATCCAGTTGATCCTGTAGATCCAGTTGATCCAGTTGATCCAGATTAACCTGATTATCCAGGCAATTTAATTTAAGCATTAGTGATTACACATTATAAAGGTTTATCTGATCCTGCCAATGTTTCTAAATCAACAGAATATGATCCATCTTCCTTAGTAGTTGTTTCCACCTATATTGGATTACCATCTCTCCCTTTAGAATCACAAGTAATAACCAATGGTATTGGAACAGATGCTTTTCCATCAGAAGGTGTTATTCTACCAGTTAATTTGACTTTAACAAATCTTTAATATCCAATTATTGGAAAAGTATAAGTTTATTATTTATCCATTGAAGGTGTATATGTAGATGATACTTAAGTCAATTATTTAATATCATTCATATATTCGATTGTAAATTTATAATTATTCTAAGGTATAACAGTTAAATTGTCAATTTACCAATCACCATTTGCATCGGTTACTAAATTAGGATTAGCAATTGTTAAATTTGGATCAGATTTAAATGTCAGTTATAATCCTTTCATAGGTTTCTAATCAACATCAAGAACTTTACCCTTAATAGTTAGAAGGGAAGTTGATTTAGATAAAGATATTGAAGTTTTAATTAAGTCTTAATTTTTACATTCTAATTCAGCTGTTTTGTAAGTAACAGGTACAAATTATTGAACTTGAAATACAAATGTAGCTGTGAACTTTTAATCTTCATAACAAGCAAATTTATATTCAAATGTACCACTATTTAAATAAATAATATTTTTTACTCTTATTTTCCAATTATTTCTTTATTATAGAGAGATTTATCATTCATGGGAGGATTACTTTCAATTAATTTAATTTTAGGATTTTAGATAGGATTTCCATTTAGATCTACTAATTAATCTTTGATGATAATTTCATTAACCTTTCTATCAAGTACAATATCATATTGTAATAAAAAAGGTTATTTAGAAGGGACATTGATTAATTTAGGTGTAATTTCTTAATCAATAAATCCTTTGGCTTTCACAATTGCCTTAACATATATATTTTAATTTGATGGTACAAAGATATGTACATTGAATTTTCCTTAAGCATCAGTTAATACTTTTACTGGTTAAATACTATCAATAATAGTGAACACAATTTCAGCACCTTAAACAAATTAAAATATTTTTGAAGAATCTTTAATAATACCTGAAATCTAACAAATAATTTAAGATAGATTATACTTATAAATCTCCAGAAGCATCTTATAATTTAATAATACCTAAATCCTTTGTAAATTGATCTTTTTTTATATTGAGATCAAAATCTTAATCAAATTCTGAACTATAACTTTGATATCCGTCTTTAGTTACTAATTCTTTCAAATGCAATTTAGGAGTAGCTTTTAGATTATAAATAATTGATATTTTTCCATCAGATCCACTAATAATATTATTTTCTATTAATTATTAATTCGATCCTAAATTAGTTCCTGTAACTTAAAATTTAGCTCCTTGTAATGGTTTTAAATTTGAATCTTATATTAAGGCAGTCAAAAGATATTAAAATTGTCCAGGTTAGAGCTCAATATTAACTGATAATTCATATTTCTATTCTCTAATATAATAAAGAATTCTAATACGGCCATAAAATGTAATGTTAAGAATTTCTATCTAATTATTAAGTGTTCCAATATTCATATTTAGATGCTGTATATAAAATGGTGAATGAACCTCCAGTGGTAGGTAATAAAAAACGTACATTTTCTTCTCCTTTTTCATTTGTTATTGCTAAAAAGTTGACTTCTTTTGTCTACTTTGACACATCTAAATAAACAGCAGTAAATTTAATTAATACTCCAGGTAATGGTTTTGAATTGGATAGCGTTTTTATCTTTAATTAGAATTGATATTTACAAAGATTAAGCCACGCTGAAATTCATCTTTGACATATACATCAGATTATGTAAATTAGACTTTTCCATTGAAAAATATAGTTCCAGATTGATCAACAATTCCATTAATTTAAGCAGATGCCTAAATATTATTGAAAGTTGTAGATGCAACAGCAATTATTTAGTATGAATTTTATTTTGCAAATTTTCCAGTTATAGTAACTGTACCACTACTATCTGTCATTAGATTCTTCTCTCCTATATCTGAATTACCATTCCTAAATTTTACATAAAAAAGTACTTCACATTTATAATTACACCTGAAAGAGCATAAGCTGAAAAATCTATTACTTTTATCACTATTTTATAATTGACTTCCTCAAGTTCCACTATTTGATACTCTATATGTTTGGTTAGACAACTACAAAACAAAACACCTAATAAAAACAAAGATTTTAGCATATTTTGAATTTAACAATATAAATTAATTATAAACTCTCACCCACTCTATGTAAATAAACATTCCTTATAATTTCTTCATTATATTGCATTATATTTACTTTATCAGAAACCATAAGAATATTATAACAACTAATTTATCAAAAATAATTTAATTCACATTGGGATTATCAGTTCATATTAATTACAATTATTCCTAATCACAAAATGTTTTATCAGAAATCAACACATAGACAAACATATGTTGAACATCTAACCGTTTATTCTGCATCCAGTTATGGTAGACCATAAATCAATAATGGAAATAAGATTTTGTTACCAGCATCAGCACTTCAATAATTAATATTTATTAAACAAAATGGACCCATGATCTTTAAAATTTAATCAACATAATCATAAAAATTTACATATGTAGGAGTATTAGAATTTGTGGCAGAAGAAGGCACTTGTATTATACCAGATTGGTTATTTGAAAATATGAACTTTTTTGATAATTGTTGGGTAATTATCAGCCTTGAATAAAGTTTACCACTTGTATATTTACTTATATTTATATATCTAGGGTAAATTAATAAAAATTTAACCACATGAGACTGCATTTATAGATCTACCTGATCCTAGGGCTATTCTAGAAAATTAATTAAGAAATTATATATGTCTAACTTAAGGTGAAACTATCACTATAACATTCAATAAGAATAAATATATGATTGATATAGTTTCAGTAACTCCATAAACAGATAAACTTGCTGTATGTATAAATGAAGCAGATGTTGAAATCGATTTTTTATAACCATTAGTATTTAAATATTCTAAAAATAGGATTATACTGAAGCGCCTCCTCAAAAATTAATTAAAACCAATTCTACTCTTGGAGTGGAATAAGAATAATAATAATAATAATAATCTGTTTTTACTGGAAAAGGAATTAGATTAGATGGCAAAACTGGAGTAGCTTAACCTAGAAAATAATCAGAAGATGTTAAAATTGTTGCTGAACCTTACAATCCTAAAAAAAATAAACTAGTTAATGGTATACGATAAACTGAAGAAGTCTAACTTTTTAAAGGTACTTGCACTAAAGTTGGAGCTTAAAGAAAATAACTTTGAGATCTTAATTATTAATTTGATAAGTATAAATAATCATGTTATTATGATCATGCAAATATTTCGAACATTTAAATTACATTTTATCTGCATAATAAACATTTTAGTCTTTAAAGAACCAATTCTTTACAATTTTAGCAATAAATAAAATGTCCACAAGGAATTGCAACAAATTTTCTTTTTTATGCAAAACATATTTAACATTTCTCTTATTCACAAATTTACTCATTTTCTTAAACCTTTTCATCTTACTTAATCTAAATCTCATTTGATATTTTATTTTATTTATCCAAATTTATTTGTTCTAATATATTCCCTTATAAAGTTGGAGTTTCTTAAAATTAATTCTAATTATTATAATCTTCTACTCTTTCGATATCAGTATATTTAATCTACAGATTTATTTATTGTTATTAATCATCATTAGTATCCTCTTTTGTTTAATTTATTACTCTTTTTATTTCGCTTTTTTTATCACAAACTAAACTTAGGATTTTAGAAGCTTCAATTACAAATTCTTCATTACTTGATTTAACCCTTAAAATTAGAAAATGTTCTTCAAATCTATTCAAGTTTTTTAAGTTTTTATGTATTTACCTTTTATTTTCACAAGAATATGGTAATGGCTAAAATCAATACAAATTGATACTCTTATTTATTGAATTATATTTCTAATGCTATCTAATAATTTGTTTTTTTCTTCATCAGTATAATTTGAAATTTTCTTTTCTTCTTCGTAATTAAATATTGCTGCTTCTAATTGAGATATCTTTTCTTTAATGCTATTCTTATCAATCGAAGTTGTAATCTACAATCTCATCTTTTCTAATTATATTTTTAAATTTGAAATCTTTTCATCTAATCTCAAATGATTCTCCAATTTTTCAATAATGTCACGAACCTTTCTTTTTTAACCTATATTTTCTTGTTATTCAATTTAAATCATTTTATAATATTTATACTATAAATCACAAAATATTATTATATCGTTTTTCTAAATCTTAATCTAAGATTGAATTTCTAATTCTCCTTCTATATTTGCATAGATCTTTAATTCCAATAAAAAATAATAAGAAACAATACATTTGAGAGAAATTCTGTTTTATATTATCCAAAAAATGGAATAATAAATAATATTTATTTTATTTATTTATTTATCCTGTTAAGGAGAAACATATATTAAGACACTATCATTTTTATTTAAAATAATATTACTTTATACATAAGATACATAATGAATTAATAAATAGAATTTACTCAAAAATATTTGATTATTATTTATAATCTTTATAAAGAGGATTCTTTAATATTTATAAATATAAGATAACTAATTTATCTGGAATAGAAAAGCATTTTAACAAAGATAACTATAAAGTTTTTAAATATTTAATTCTCAAAAGTATTTGGGTAATGAATAATTGAATTTGATTATTCCACATTTATTTTTAATTAAAAGAAATCTAGTATTTTGTTAAAGTAAAATCAGGTTAAGACATTTTAATTATGCTTGATTCTATCACTTTTTAGTGATATATGATGTTTGTTTAATTACTACAATTTTCTATCCTGCTGCTTTAAAAAATTTATTTTTTTTTAAAACTCATTAATATATTTCAGATTTTTAAGTATATAAACATAACAATTTANTCATCATTAGTATCCTCTTTTGTTTAATTTATTACTCTTTTTATTTCGCTTTTTTTATCACAAACTAAACTTAGGATTTTAGAAGCTTCAATTACAAATTCTTCATTACTTGATTTAACCCTTAAAATTAGAAAATGTTCTTCAAATCTATTCAAGTTTTTTAAGTTTTTATGTATTTACCTTTTATTTTCACAAGAATATGGTAATGGCTAAAATCAATACAAATTGATACTCTTATTTATTGAATTATATTTCTAATGCTATCTAATAATTTGTTTTTTTCTTCATCAGTATAATTTGAAATTTTCTTTTCTTCTTCGTAATTAAATATTGCTGCTTCTAATTGAGATATCTTTTCTTTAATGCTATTCTTATCAATCGAAGTTGTAATCTACAATCTCATCTTTTCTAATTATATTTTTAAATTTGAAATCTTTTCATCTAATCTCAAATGATTCTCCAATTTTTCAATAATGTCACGAACCTTTCTTTTTTAACCTATATTTTCTTGTTATTCAATTTAAATCATTTTATAATATTTATACTATAAATCACAAAATATTATTATATCGTTTTTCTAAATCTTAATCTAAGATTGAATTTCTAATTCTCCTTCTATATTTGCATAGATCTTTAATTCCAATAAAAAATAATAAGAAACAATACATTTGAGAGAAATTCTGTTTTATATTATCCAAAAAATGGAATAATAAATAATATTTATTTTATTTATTTATTTATCCTGTTAAGGAGAAACATATATTAAGACACTATCATTTTTATTTAAAATAATATTACTTTATACATAAGATACATAATGAATTAATAAATAGAATTTACTCAAAAATATTTGATTATTATTTATAATCTTTATAAAGAGGATTCTTTAATATTTATAAATATAAGATAACTAATTTATCTGGAATAGAAAAGCATTTTAACAAAGATAACTATAAAGTTTTTAAATATTTAATTCTCAAAAGTATTTGGGTAATGAATAATTGAATTTGATTATTCCACATTTATTTTTAATTAAAAGAAATCTAGTATTTTGTTAAAGTAAAATCAGGTTAAGACATTTTAATTATGCTTGATTCTATCACTTTTTAGTGATATATGATGTTTGTTTAATTACTACAATTTTCTATCCTGCTGCTTTAAAAAATTTATTTTTTTTTAAAACTCATTAATATATTTCAGATTTTTAAGTATATAAACATAACAATTTACAAATATTCATGATCTAAAGATAAAGATTATAGTTCACTATTATAACTTTTAGGTTTTCAATAAATTATGAGGAATAAAATTAACAAAATCAGAAAATAGAAGAGCTGAGCTTTCTTTACACAAAAACATAATAAATTTAATAACTATTAAATATTTATGTGTTATTCATTATATTTAATGATATTTTCTAATTTTGATCTCATTTTCACCTAACTGCCATGAAATTAAGTATTATCCATCTTCACTCAATATTCCAAAAAATTCACATTTTGAAAATTTTATTTCTAATTGAAGGTAAAACTATCCCTATTCATTTCTTCTTAAAAATTATAATTTATCCTCAACAGTATAAAGCGTTAGACCTTTTGAGTTTATATATTATATTGGTTAAGATATAAATTCTTTTGTGGCGAATCTTAGTGCTGGAATAAAAAAACGAGAAGTCATTATTTAATTTTTACTTTCAAACAATTAGTTAGCACTATTAATTTCATAAATATCCATTATTACCCCATAAAACAATTAAAGCAAAAAAATATCATTATCGATAAAGCATATTCTACTACCTTTTTTTATTTCAGTTATTTTTTAAATTATAACCCAATTAGAAGTTTATTATTAATATTCAATTATCAATATTTATTATTCCTATCCGCATGAAATTACTTTATTCTATTGTTAATTTATACTCAAATCCAATACATTTCCTTTATGATCTTCTATAGTTTATTTACAAGACCATTGAATATTATTTCCAAAATTTAATTTTCATATCATTACTTCCAGAAATAATCAAATCTTCGTTATTATTCAACACTAGACATCTAATTTGATCAGAATGCTAAATTAATTGTTATTAACAAACCCATTAATTACCTGGATTCATAATCCATATTATAATTTATTTATCCAAACTTCCAGATACAAATTGAGTGGATAATTTCATGAAATTTAATGTATTCACTTTACCTTCATGCTAGCTGAGAAGTTAGGTTTCTTTCAACTAATCTTATTTGAATTCAAATACTCTTATTTAATTAGAACATCCAGCTATGATAATTGTGGAATCTTTATTTATTGCTATTGCTGAACATTCATTAACTTATGTAATTGATTTATTCTAAATTAATTCATAACTGAATTTCTACTATTTTTAAATTTATGTGATTTCGTTATTCTAGTTCTAATCATTTTTTGATACATAATTAAAGAATCTATTCAAATACTAATTACACTTTGATCCATTAGACTAAAATTATTCAAGTTCAACTTAATTTGGAAATTTTTAATTATCAATCTTGAACTCAAATTTTTTGATTCTTAAATCCTATTGAATTTTCTTTTCAAATAAATCGTTCATAATTTAATATAAATCGTTAGATTCAATTAATGGAAAATGGAAAATCCCTTCCATTAAACGATTTGTTTACTTATTGATATCTACTCCAATAGATACTAACTTTATTTATTATTATTAGGTTTAGTTAATAAATATTGAAAGGTCTTAGTAAGAGTAATTGTATAATTGATGATTTATAAATATTAAGTACTTCTTATATGAGTTAAATTTTGTTAGATTATCTGAAACAAACCTTAACTAATTACAGTTGTATTCAATTTAAATATTATCATTAAAATTTGTAATGGAATTTAATAATTATTGTTATTCTTATTAGGACCAAAATGTTGAAAAGTTTTATTTTACAACAATGATAGGATCACTATAAATATGTAGATTACAAATGATCTTGCATTCCTTACAAAATTCTATTAGCTGATATACAAATGGAATAATAACGTTGATTAAGCAAGCTCTAGAAAAAGAGTTCATATCTAAAACTACTTAGAACACATAAAGAGATTTCCCTCCTTTATTTTTTTTTTTCATAATGTCTTTGGCAGTTCCATTTGTACAGAAAAATTTAATTATTCCTTTGATGTCTATAGTTGTTCCTTTCGAAGATAAAGAATATTTAGTATATTTACTAATTTCAAGTAGTGATTTCAAATTATTAGCCTCTTTAATATTTAAGTGGGATATATCTTAGATATCTAAATTTTCAATTTCTCTAGTATTTATAGTTTATTTAATCTTTGATTGATTTAACTTCTTTTTCTATTATGAAATTTCACCTAATATTTCCAAAAGTGATATAGAAACTTCGTTTATTTCTCCACTTTTGGCATCTAAAATAAAAATTTTGGCTTTTTCAAAAATATAAACGATTTTTATCTCATCACTTATTAATTCTTTTTTGCATTAATCTGAAATTGTAAGCTTATTTTCTGTGAAAACAATAATAAAATCGTTTAATTATTTGTTGTTTAAATCAACAGGAATCAATTTTTCATTGAATTAACCATATAACCCATGAAAGATTTTATCTATCAAATTTATTGATAGAGGGATATCCTGATTTTTTAAAAACACAGGGTTACAATTTCCAGATAAAATTATATCAAATTTCTAGTGAAGAAATTGTAATTTAATTAATAGATGGCCTAATTACAACAATAAACTCTCGGTGTAAGTTTAATTACTTATAATTAATCTCCCATTCATACTAACAATATCTTTTTATTCTTGGTTTTTCCACTCAAAAGCAATCTCTGCTTCAGCTGAGCTCAATAACTAATCATATTACTAAATTTTTGGTTCCCCATTTATTGAAAGTCCGCGTGGTTATTATTTGCTAAGAATTTTTGTGTCTTACATTAATTATTTCGATACGTTACAAGCTTTTAGGTCTTCATCAAAACTCCAATTTTTGAGACTTTTTATCATATCCAGATCAATAATACTGCAGCTTTCTTAATTTTTCTCATTTTCAGGATCGTTTTTCTCATTTGCAGGATTACTTTTCACAGATTCTTATTTTTCAATTTAAAGACTCTTTTAGATTGGTTCATCTTAACCATTTTATTATTGTGGGTTATTATTTTTTTTTTTTATCTCTTATTCATTAAGATTTTGAAAGAATCTTAATATATCATTTTTGTTTTAATTTTTTTTAGAATTCTATTCTTTATCTGTTTTTTCCTTAAACTCTTGTTGTTAAGGTTGAGTTGATGGAGGTAGTTAAATTAATTGAATAGGTGTAGTGGTTTTAATTGGTGGAGGTTGAAATGGAGGAGGCAGTTGAGTTTTTTGTGGTGGTACAGATGAGGGAGATGATGAACTCTAACTGTTTTCATTTTTTTAAGGAGATTTTTGATGTTGTTTTGATAATGAAGCTTTTGGGGGTGATGGTGATGAAGATGGTTAACGCTATTTATTTTTATTCTATTATGAAGGTTTTGGATTTTGAGGGTTTTGTGTTTAAGAATTATGAGATTTTGGCTCAATTAGATGATTATCTTCCTCATCAAACTATTCCCTTAATGCATCAAGCTCTTCAGAAACATCAGTGTTCATTACATCCTTACAAAAATTTTTTATCTTATTTGCATTCTTATTTAGCATTTTCTTAAATTGTAAATTATCAGTTTTTTAGTTGAATCCAGGGAGGCAACTGAAAAATTATGCAAATCTTTCAAATGTTAGTGATATCAAATTTTGAATCACACTAATATCAAAGCTAATTTCAAAATCACCTTCAAATTATTTAAAGTCAACAATCTTGATAGAATATTTAAGTTTACATTTAATTTACTGCTCATCTATTTCAAGTCTAAGTACTATTTATTTTACTTCAATATATTTAAAGAAACAATATGTTTACTATTACCAACCTTTATTTTTTTATATGTCGTATTCTATGTTTGCATTAATTTAAATATTGTTTTCAAATTTAGCTTCTAATCCTAATTCAAATTTCAAATTTTAAATCATGATTGCCAATTGAAAAGCGAATTAATTTGGTTTAAAATGTGCACTAATATCAAGTTAATTTTCTTCTAATATTGTTATAGATCCTTTTCCATCAAATTGAAATTAATCTTAATTGAATGTTGTTTCAAGGGAAATCTCAATTAATAGGTGTGGACTAATATCAACCTTTAAATGTCCCTTACAAAAAAATTTCCTTCCTATTGCACTTTAATACAAAGCTAAATCAAAAATAAATTGTTTTGAATCGGAAGAAGATTAGATCAAAAAATACTTTTATTCCAAATTTTGACCAGCGATTCTTTCTATTAACTAATCAATGATTGATTTAGAATTTACCAAATTATATAATTTTTCTGGTAATATTGATTTCTTATAATCATCAGGCATTTCTCCAAATATAACCCCTAATTTCTATATATTTGGAATGTAATTCAGAAATTCTGAAGGAATCTTCTCTTCTAGATTGAAAAATCTTAAAATTTTTCTTAAATTAATATTTTATAGCATAATTCCTAAACCAACAGGCTTAAAATTAGAAAGATTAAGGCGCAATTCAGCGGCAAAACCCTTTATTTCAGTTGTTATTTGAGTAGAAAAACTTAGATTTTGATTTTCATAAATTAAATTTGCTGTTCACTTTATATCCCAATCATTCACCCCAAAAGCATTTTTGTATTCTAATTCCAAGCCCCCTTTAAAGCTTGTTATTTGAGAGCCATTTACTTCACCTTAAAAATTCAATTCACCCCAATTTTGAGTTACATACTTTAAACTTAAATATATTTTAAAATTTATTTATTGTTAAATGCCTTATAAATAAAAGTAAAGTGAACCCTAAAATTACTTTGCGTTGTATTTATACTTTTCACTTTTAAATTCAAATCCGTTTTCAAAAAGAGCATTAAATTTAAGGTCAAATTCCTTTTTGGGGTTTTCAAGAAATGAAAAGAACTTTTCTAAATTAGGTTGAATTTTAAACTAAATTTAAGTGATTAGGTTTAGCCCAATAGATTTTTTATTTTGATTTTTTAAGTAGGATGATATTAAATTATTTGAATTTTCTTCAATAAGGTCATCATCAAGTGAATCCCCTTATTTCGAATAAATTAATAAGCATTCTGATTATTGAAAACTGAAAAAAGAATCTAAAACTGAAAATAAAGATGTTATATCACCAAACAATTTGCCTTTAATACAAAAATAAAATAATAGAGTTTTGCTTTACCAATTTAAGTAAATTTTGTAAACTTAACTTGAGCAATTTGATAATGCCAAAAGAAAAGATTTATTTTCAAAATTAATGACTAATTCCTAAAATGATGGTATTTTTTCGACCATTACTTTAAAATTCGAAATAGTTGTTTAATAATTATTTTGATTTTCAAACAAAGATTTAGTCAGCTAAATCATTTGCTGCGTATTTTTGTCATTTTCATCTTACAAAAATTTAATTTCTTATTTTAGGTGCTATACGAAAATTGCAATTTGTAAACATCAAGTAAAATAACCTTTCCTTCTAACTCAAAATTATTCTGTCCATTTTCTCTTGAATATTTTAAACTAATTGATGTAATTTAAAGAAAAGACCACTTAATTTTACCTTAATATGTTCTTAAAATTTCAAAATTTTCAACTTTCATATTAGTATTAATGTTGACAACAAATTCTACTTTAATTGGACATTCTTCAAAAAGTTGAAATTTATGAATCTTATACAAATCAAATTCCCTTAAAATATCAAATAATGCGAATATGGTCTATCTGATAGGCAAAACAAATTTCTCAACTTTTAATGGAAATCCTGTTATTTTTCCTCAATTACAAATTTTTGATTGTTAAACAATACAATTTTAAAATCTATTTACAAATTTTTTGATATCACTTATTTATTTATTAACTAAAATTCTACATTAACGTCCTTTAATTATATAAAAGAGAAATTGTCAAATTTCAAGTTGTTCTTTTTATAAATAGCCTTGAAGAGCATTTGGGATTCAAATATTTCTAACATCAAAGTTAGATTTTGGAAGTTAATCTCTTAAAAAATACTCATTTTTAAGTCACATCCTGAGAGATCATAAAACAATTTTTCAAGTGAAAATGCTTTATTAGGAATTAAATCTGCTTAAATTTGATTTCTATCTTTCAAAAAACCAAACTTAAAAGACCCCAAACTTTAGTTTTTCACAATGCATTCCCCTCTAATTGAACTATCATCCCATCCTGATTCTTTGTTATAGATTAGCTATCCAGTTAGCGCTTTTATAATAATTAAATTTTAAAAGAAATTACAACTACCATCTTCTATTGTAAGTAAAAAAAAAAATTCCCATTATTTACTTTTTTCAATTGATAATTTACACATTATAGTTTTAATTTTGAATTCAGCAATGTGGCTTGGAATTTCAAACGAAAGAATGTGTTAAACAAATTTGTTTAAACAAAAATTCTCTATGGGTTCTGATTCTAAAACAAACCTAAGGCTTGAATTTGTTCTGTAATTTGTTGCAAGAAATGAAAAATCTAGATTTAAATTAATTTTCAATCCAAATAATAAAATTGAGGTCTTAAGCATAGCTTAAATGTCTGAATTAAGTTTTTATTTAACTAATTATTGTTTGTATTATATTCTCATAGAAATAGTGGAAAAATTAATAAAACTACTTTTTTCTTAACTATTCTCTGTATTGAATGAAAATTAGCTCTCAAACTCTTAATTTTCAAAGTTAAACTAAAAAATATCGATCTAGTTTATTGTAGGAAATATGTTGGTTTCTTCACATTATAAATCGAACAATTTAGGCCATATTAGATTGGATCAAATCCTTTAACTAAAGGTTTTTTGTCAAAAAAAATTATTGGGGGTTTCTGAAGTGAAAATTATAAAAAGAATTCTGGAAACTGAATATCCAAAAATTAAATTTTTCCTTTTAAATCTATGATTAATTCTTTTTCAATATTACTAAATTGTAAATTGCAATCAGATAAAGTTAAAAATCTACATATTTTCCATTCATCCAATAAAGGAATATCGAATTTAAATTCGATTGAATCATTCCTGAATTCTAAATATGATTCTCTAGAGTTAGCCAGTTAGCTTAATTAGCTGAAAGCTTCCTGTCCAAATTTTTTTGCTTTCTCTTTTTGTTATTCAATTTAATGATTAATTTATTTTTCTAAATTAGCTTTTGCATCTTATATTGTCTATTAACACTTATTGATTTGCTCTTCCCCTTATAGTTTTAAATCATTAAAATAATTCATACCTTAATTTACGTCTTATTCAATTTCTTATTTCTTCTGTTTTAAATCATTAAAATACTTCATACCTTCAGTTAAGTTTTACTCAATTTCTTATTTCTTTTATCTTATATTTTAGTTTAATTCATTTATATTTGAATTGACTTTATCTTTAAATTCTGAATTTTTTAGTTAACTATTTATTTTCCATCTTCTAGCATCATCTTAGCTTACTCTTTACCTTTAATTAGCTCTTTTTCGAATTCTTCTCTAATCTATTGTTCTGTACATTAAACTCTCTCATTAGCTTATAATTTAAACTCTTCAAAAATACTGCTTCCTAATTTTTTAAACCTATTTACGTCAAGTAAATCATCTGGATTTTATATTTTTAGATCCTTTATTTTATCTTTTATTTTTAACTCTTTATATCCTGGAATTTTTTCAAGAATACTATCGATTCTAGGAGAATAAATAGAAAGGATTTCTTTAAAATCAAGAACAAAAAATATAAAATTATAATTATGAGATTTTTGCTAGTCTGTGATGAGGTTTAAACTCAAGGGTATGAGTATAAAAAATTATTTATAGAAAGCTGTTTCTTATTTGCTTGAGTAATTTCTGTATATAAGTGCAGTATCTCATTACCAACAATTTGCATGGTTTCATGATACTTTGGAGATAATAAAGAGAATATTATTTATTTTAAAGCATATGTTAAGAAAGCATAAAATATTGAAGTATAGTAAGAACAAATATTAGAAGTTAAAATGATGTCTTTTCTTTCTATTTAGAACTCCTTATGTTAGAATACATTAAATAGAAGGTCACGTGATTTGAACAATCCAGTTGGAGAATATGTTCTTACAAAAATAGATTCAAGATTAAAAGGAATCAATGAGAATTAGAGTTTTTAGAAATGTTGAAAGATGACAATATGGATTAGTCAAGATGAAACAAAATTATTTGGATATGCGTAAATTAAGAATAATTTCAATAATATATGGAATTAATTTAGGTAAAGCACATCAATCATTACATAAATTATTGATTGGAATAGAAATAAGTAGCTTTAGTTTTAATGAAAATAATATTAATGTTGTTATACTACTTGTCCAACATATTCGGAAAGGAAGGAAAGAATCTGTATATGAACAATTCTAAATATTACAAAAGAAGGATGTGATTAAAAAAAATGAAAGAAGTTGCTAGATCATTAAAACTTTAAGCAAGACAAGTTGGAAGTGAACATTCAAATATAGATAAAGAAGGTACAGTTGATATTCTACCATCTGCTAGTATAAGAGTAACAGAAGCTAATGTTACAAAATACTATTTGAAGGAATAATTAAATTATACGAGATAGAAGTTTAGGCAGCAGCAGAAATAGACAAAATATTTGTATNTCATACCTTCAGTTAAGTTTTACTCAATTTCTTATTTCTTTTATCTTATATTTTAGTTTAATTCATTTATATTTGAATTGACTTTATCTTTAAATTCTGAATTTTTTAGTTAACTATTTATTTTCCATCTTCTAGCATCATCTTAGCTTACTCTTTACCTTTAATTAGCTCTTTTTCGAATTCTTCTCTAATCTATTGTTCTGTACATTAAACTCTCTCATTAGCTTATAATTTAAACTCTTCAAAAATACTGCTTCCTAATTTTTTAAACCTATTTACGTCAAGTAAATCATCTGGATTTTATATTTTTAGATCCTTTATTTTATCTTTTATTTTTAACTCTTTATATCCTGGAATTTTTTCAAGAATACTATCGATTCTAGGAGAATAAATAGAAAGGATTTCTTTAAAATCAAGAACAAAAAATATAAAATTATAATTATGAGATTTTTGCTAGTCTGTGATGAGGTTTAAACTCAAGGGTATGAGTATAAAAAATTATTTATAGAAAGCTGTTTCTTATTTGCTTGAGTAATTTCTGTATATAAGTGCAGTATCTCATTACCAACAATTTGCATGGTTTCATGATACTTTGGAGATAATAAAGAGAATATTATTTATTTTAAAGCATATGTTAAGAAAGCATAAAATATTGAAGTATAGTAAGAACAAATATTAGAAGTTAAAATGATGTCTTTTCTTTCTATTTAGAACTCCTTATGTTAGAATACATTAAATAGAAGGTCACGTGATTTGAACAATCCAGTTGGAGAATATGTTCTTACAAAAATAGATTCAAGATTAAAAGGAATCAATGAGAATTAGAGTTTTTAGAAATGTTGAAAGATGACAATATGGATTAGTCAAGATGAAACAAAATTATTTGGATATGCGTAAATTAAGAATAATTTCAATAATATATGGAATTAATTTAGGTAAAGCACATCAATCATTACATAAATTATTGATTGGAATAGAAATAAGTAGCTTTAGTTTTAATGAAAATAATATTAATGTTGTTATACTACTTGTCCAACATATTCGGAAAGGAAGGAAAGAATCTGTATATGAACAATTCTAAATATTACAAAAGAAGGATGTGATTAAAAAAAATGAAAGAAGTTGCTAGATCATTAAAACTTTAAGCAAGACAAGTTGGAAGTGAACATTCAAATATAGATAAAGAAGGTACAGTTGATATTCTACCATCTGCTAGTATAAGAGTAACAGAAGCTAATGTTACAAAATACTATTTGAAGGAATAATTAAATTATACGAGATAGAAGTTTAGGCAGCAGCAGAAATAGACAAAATATTTGTATTTAGATTTATATTTTAAATTTTCTATTATTTAACATATATAAGAGAGAATTGGTATTCATGCTCAATTCGAATAACAAATACTATTACATGTATTTATAAAAGACCATGAATTTAGTTGGTCCTTAATATTTTGTTATAAACTTCTCTTAATCTAATACTAAGATAATAAAAATATATATATATTATCTTTATATTAGATTTCTGTTTTTAGTAGATTATTTATTAAACTTTATGTCCTTTATCAAAACTATTACCAAGACTTAAGCATATTATAACTATGATTAATACAGAGGTTTATTCTACTATTTTCTATAAAATGTAATAGGAAATGCTATATTTTTCAAATTTTGAGTTGATTTTCATAGTAAATTAACTATAAATCATTATTCTGTCTGCTAAAAAGGTTCTGTAATCAATGTTAAGCTATAAAATGTCTTAATAAAAGCTTAAGAAAAGATCATAATAATATTTTAATTTTTATATAAAGCATGATACTTTAAAATGAAGAGAACTTTATTAATTATTTCTTTGATAAGCATAGCAACATGTCAAGTAATAAAGAAAAGTGAAGTTTGTTCTTGTGCATTAATTCTAACATCTGGTGATTGTGGAAGAAACACTAATTGCGTATGGAATTCGACAAAATTAGTTTGTGAAGTTCCATAAAGTACAGGTCCTGTAACTGTACCTAAGAATTATGGAAAATCTTTATATTGTGAAGGATTAACTTAAACAGAATGTCTTAAATTGAATGAATGTGCTTGGATAAATAATAAGTGTACATTCTTTACAAGTTGTACTCCTTATGAGAAAACTAGTAAAGATGAATGTTATCAAAAAGATGCATTACAGATGGATAAATTTGTGTTGAAATAGACTTATGTTCTACTTATTTAACATCAACATCTTGTACTTAGAGTAAGACAAATTATTGTGTTTGGGATTATATAGGTAAGAAATGTTCTGATGTATCTGAATGCAGTTAATTACCAACATTTTTGACTAAAGATTCAGAATGTAGATTATATTTAAAGAAAGAGTGTACAGCCAAACAAGGAGGAGGATGTGTAGAATCTGGAACAAATTGTGAAGATTAAGTATCAGAAGAAGTATGTGTCAAAAACAAAACAGGAACAGTTTAATGTTTTTGGGGAATTGGTAAATGTTATGAAAAAAAATGTGAATTTGCTTTTACTACTATAATAGATTAGGATGGCATTAGGATTGTAACAATGCAGCAGCTGAAAATTCTTGCATTACTGGAAAAGATAATTGTAGTGGTTAAACTTAAGCTAATTGTAAATGGTCATTAGTTGGAGGAAATTGTTATTTTATTAATAGTGCTTGTAAGGCAGTTTCTACATTAAAATGTAGTGAACTTAGTGGATCAACTGATGCAGAATGTAGAACATTAAAGAATAGTTGTATATTTGGAGCATTTGGTAAATACAAACCTAATTGTACAAGTCTTGCAGAACCATAGACTTTTGATTCAGAATGTTCTGTTCAAAATGATGGAAAGTCATGTTATTATATAGATAAAAATTGTTCCTTATTAACCACGAATACATGTACAAAAGGAAAGGATGGATATTGTTAACGTAGTGGATCAAATTGTGCTAAGGTTACAATAACTTCTGCTACTTATGCTAATGTTACGATTTCAACATAAGGTGCAACTAAAATAACTGCTAAATATTGAAAAGAAATTAGTGCAGAAGCATGTACAGCTAAATCTAATAAAACAGTATCTGCTGCTATTGCTGCTTAATGTTGAGATTATACAGGGGGTACCTTGACCTCAACATTGGGAAAAATGTATTTGGAATTCTACATCTAATAAATGTTTTGATAGAACATGTAGTAATGCTGATTCAACATATAATACTGACCTTAAATGTTTAGAAGTTGGAAATTGCACAGTTAAATGAGGTGAAGATGGACTGCTTTTTCAGATTATAAAGTAGCTGACTAATGTAAGAAAAATGCTTCAAAGAAAGATTGTGAATGGAGTTTAGTAGAAACACCTAAGAATGTGTTGATAAGATTTGTGCATCTGCTGATCCTGTTACATACACTGATTTTGAAGATTGTTAAGGTTATATCTTTGAAGGTAATTGTACATTAGGAGCTAAGAAATATGAAGATTGAACATTTACTGAAGGTGGATATTAAGCACTTGCATTATGTTCAGAATATAACACAGCTAATTAATGTAAAAAGAGTAAGAATAAAGATACTGAAGGTAACTTTTTAAATTGCTATTGGAATGATTCAACCAAAAAATGTGGAGATGCTAGTTGTGGATAAGCTGATGATACATTCACAACACATGATGCTTGTGATACTTATGGTAATCCTATGAAACTAAAATGTACAGTTGATAAAGATGATAAAGGATGTGTTCCTATTCCAGATACTTGTGAAGGTATGAGTAAAGGATAATGTGTTGATGTTGACTCAAAATTAAATAAATGTATTTGGATTGAAGTTGTTGGTAATGGATCATGTGTTACAAGAACTTGTGAGAATGCAGTCAGTCCTACTAATTCTTCTGATTGTAAAAAAGTCATCTTTTCTATTGTACAATGATTGATACTGGAAGTAAGTGTAAAACTAAAGTATGTGAAGATTATAATTACACTAATGATATAGCTTGTGCAGCACTCTTTAAGGATAAAAAATGTACTACAAATGGAAAATTTTATGTAAACAGAGGATCTTGTGCTTTAGCTTTAAGTTAAAAAGGATGCACAAAAGATTCATCTGGTAATGCTTGTGAATGGATTGTTCCAACTGATACAACTAAAATAGCTTATTGTACATTAAAGACATGTAATAAAACACCTAAAGATTATACTTCTGAAAGTTAATGTTTATAATACTTTACTCCAAAATCTCCTGGAGCTACTTTCACTACTTAATAAGGTGGTAGTTGTGTTTAAAGATCTACTTGTTCAGCAGCATAAGTTTAAGCTGCTTGTACTTCTGATTAAAATGGATTTATTTGTGTAGAAATTAAGAATGTAAAAATATTTCTGGTACAACTCATGCTGCTTGTTATAATCCTACTGATAAGAACTTTAAAGGTAAATGTACTGCTGGTAAAAGTGGTAAATGTGCTCTTATGTAGACTTGTGGATTGACAACAGTAGAAGCAGCCTGTGTTTTTGGAACTGATGGACCATGCATTTGGTTACCTGATTATCCTAATACTGGTAGTAATACTAAAGGTGCATGTTTCCTATATGATTTATGTAGAAGTATTTTGTGGAATTCTTATCCACTATGTAAATATATTTCAGATAAATGTACTACTAATGGCAAATTATGTATTGGTATTAGATTAAATTAAAAATGTAAAATATTTATACTTAATGTGCCAAAACTAATGTAGATGGAGGATGTGTAACTGGTACAGATCGAGACTGTATTACATCAGTTTAAACTTTAGGAGCAGCAAATAAGGTTTGTACTAAATATGTAAGTTGTAATTCAGCTTTATTTACAACTCATACTGAATGTTTTAATGCTAATCCTAATTGCACTACAAATGGAACATCATCTTGTATTGAATTAGCAGCATGTTCAACATATGTAAAAGAAGCTTGTCGTTATAATAAAGATGGTGTTTAATTGAATTCAAGTAAATAAATTACTTCAACAGGCAAGTGCCAATGGGATGAAACTACAAGTGCATGTAGAGATTAATATTGTTCTGATCTTAAAGGAGCTAATCATAATGCATGTTCAGCTTAATTAATTACATGTACAAGTGATGGTACAAATTGTATAACTTAAGATTCATTTACTAAATACACTACAAATAGCACATGTATCAATTCTTTGGATACTGAAGGTTTATGTACTTGGATTGAAGGTACAGGTGAAGCAGCTGGAACTTGTAGAGTTAAGACATGTGATGATATAACTGGTAGTACTTCTGCTTTGGCTTGTAGTATTGTTAATTCTTGTACTACTGATGGAACTAAATTTTTTATTAGAGGAACATGCGATAAATATCTAACTAAAGCTGGATGTAATTATAGACGAACTGATGGAATCTGTGTTTGGACTGAAACTACAACTTGTACTTTAACAACAGGAAAATGTTCAATAATGCTAAATTGTGCAGCTACTTCTAAGATTCCAATGCTTTCCAATAAGCATCTAATAGATGTAAATGGACTTCTGGTACAGCAACTTTTGCTAGTTCTTGTGTTGATCATACTTGTGAAACTTATAATTCTTAATCAGGAAAATGTACATATTTCTCTAATTGGGATTCCACTAAATATACTATATGCCATAATGTAGCTGGTCAATGTACACCTGCAGATCCTAAGACATTACTTGAATCAGAATGTTATACTTAATCAGCATATACACCAAGTTAAATGCATGTACTTAATGTGATGCCTCTGTTGTTACACCAAATAATTAAACAAATGGAAATAATACAGATAACAATAAGGTTCTACTTCAACTGACTCTGGATATGTCCTTGGAGTTGCAGTTCTGTTAGGATACTTAATCTATTGATAAATAGATTCATTAAATATATATAAGGAAAAATGATAATAAAATATTCAAAAAAAATATTATATTAAATCATTATCTAAATTAAAATGAAGTTTAAAAATTTCTTAATTTTACTATTTGTTAATAAAATGCCTTATAATGTAATTTTCAAATTATATATTTAATATAAAGTATTTTAAATCTAGATAATTTAGTTTATAATTATATAATTATTAATGAAGCATACTATATATTCTAAATATTAAAAAATCATAAATAAATAAAACTTTAAATAATATACTACACTATAGAAAATTAGTACCTTATATTTATAGATAAATAAGCTAAAGATTGTATTTATCAAGAAGAATGTGGAATTACATTTTTTGAATTGTATAAAATAATAGTTTTATATAAATATAAAGTCTATCAAAAGATAGTTTTTTTATTCTAGAGAAAATTCTAATTTTATATATTCAATAAACACAATTATTAACGATTGATTCTTATAGATGATCCTTTTACATTTTGTATATAATTAAATAAAGTTTTTTACTTTTTAATTTTAGTTCTTATTATTAATTATTTATAATATATTTTAAATATTCTATTGTTGATTTATGATTGCTATTTATATTAAAACTGATTTCAATTATAAAAAAAAAACAAATTATGATAAAAATAACACAAAAATATTTCTTTAGAAAATAAAATTTTATGTCCAGAAGAAATAGCCCAAAGAACCCTAGACAGGGACTAACCAAGTCAAGAAAAATAGCACATCACTACAAGATGAACATACCAAAGAAAGTAAAAGTAGGATCCTATACGAGCACTATATGAGGATGCTAGTGACAAAGGGGAGACCAATCGGTTCCTCAATAGGGGTTGGGTTTGGGGTTGGGTTTGGGGTTGGGGTTGGGGT